CAACCTACCCTCTTAACTTTTATGCTTTCAGATGGGGGAGTAAGCACCTCTCATAACTCCACTCCTCCTAACCCCATGTTCAATTTTCAGAATTCTGCCTTACCACGGAAATGTTTCTACCTCAACATGGTCCTGATAGAATGATATGTCTAAATCAAAGGCACCTTTCCCTCTACCTCACCTGGGTCCTTAATATGACAGTGCCATGTCTCCTCATAACATCTTGTCTCTTTGTTTTTCCAGTCTGACATACGTGCATTCACCAGTGAAGCTGTCCTGGCTAAAACACCTGGCACCAGCGTCTACCTGGGCACCAACCTTCATCCCGTCGATTCCCCTAGGCTCCAGTACAGAGCCCTTTGCCAGCAGGAAGTAGTTAAAGAGAGAAATCTTCGTCCCTTTTCATAATAATAATCATAAGATGGGATATGAAAGGGTTTTGGCCCAGATAGGACACTGTAGCCAGGAAAGCCACAACCGGAAGCAGGAAGCCCCATCTCCCCTGCCCCTAGGAAGTTACCTGTGACGCCATCTTCCCGCCCTTGGAAATTTACATATGGCGCCAAACCTAGGACCAATGGGCTACTTGTGTATCTCTAATGCCCGCCTTAGGTTCCACCCCAAACCGAGGCTATTTACAGGCCCCCACGCCACGTGTCCGCCGGAGAGATCGCCGGACGCCAGCGGTGGGGGTGCCGGTCATCTCTCTCCGTGTTCTCAGAATAAAGGCCGCTTTTTATTTTATATTTCTCATCTTTTGTTAATATTTTTCATCTTTTGGAAATAACTCTAGCAAAAACAATTGTAAATAACATGCATATCATGAAAAAAGGGGAAGGGTTGTGGAAGAAAGAGAATACAAAATTTCAGAAAGAAACTTGGAGCGAAAACTTTTGTGATAGCTTCTCAAATACATGTAACATGCATATGTATCAATATTTGTACATATACCTTACATATACACATTTAAAACTATTGTTTAAAGTTGAAAGTTTATCTCAATTTACTTATATTCCAATGAATCTATTATAAAGTAAAATAAGAGCCATTATATGCCCTAAATGGACACTTATACTAGTAAGTATAAGACAGAAACCCAGGAAATTTACAATTTAAAGATACCTCAATATAATGGATAAAAGTCTGTAATTTAATACTAAAAATTCATAGAGATGAAACAATAAAGACCTTGGTTTCTTGCTGTTATGTAAGGAGCTTAGAAGTTGTCAGTCTCATCCTCACAATAAGGAAAAAGCCGAACAAATGGAGAATCAGTTCATCCTAATCCATCAAAGAATAGAAGTCACAGAGAGAAGTGCTGCTTCAAAAAGCACAGAGACAGGCAAGTAAGAGTCACAGCTTACCAGACCAAAAGCCTAGCAGCAGAAATCCACTGTGGTAGCTACAGCCAAAGGTATTAAAAAAACAAAGAACTCTGCATTTCAGATCTTATTTACAAGTCTCTAGGGAAGCTCAGACAAATAAGGAGATAACAAACAAGGACACTGAGGGAAATGGTAGCCTATGACACCTATGGCTACAGCAAATAGTAAACATAGTCTAATGTTCCACCAGATAAAACACGAATGTTTGAATTAAGGGTCTACTTAATCTTAGTTTTTTTACCTTGTATATTATGTCAGATTTGCAATAAAAAATTACAAGGTATTCTAAAAGGCCAAAAATGTTTCTGAAATAACCAGGTTGACGAGATGAAGCACGTAATGCATCAATTCAAGACTCTGGTATGGCATGTATTTTTGAACTTGAAAACTAAAAATTTTAAATAATTGTGATCAATACTCTAAGAGTTAAAATGAAAAAAATGAACATCATGCAAGTACAGATGGATAATATAAGCAGACAGGAACTTCAGGAAAGAAGCAAATTAAAATGAAATGATATAATATCAGTGAGATATACTTTTAAAAATTAGAGAAAAATTATAAATCTAAATTGTCTTCATGAAAGGTTAGAGAACTGATCAAATACTAGCAAGATCAAATAAAAATCAATATAGCAAATATCAGCATTATCAAGGAAATCTTCACTTCATATCCTGGAGACAAAAAGCACACATGAAAATTTATACTAATAAAAGTTGGCACTACCCAAAATGAAAAAGTTCCAAGAAAAACAGCTTAACAAATTGAGAAAACAGGAAATCTCAATTGCCCGTATCTCATTTTTAAAATGTCTTTGCATTTCAAAAATTCATACAAATGAATTCTACATCTTCATGTAAGAAATCATGAACTTTCCGTAAGAGAAAGAAGTAACTTCAATCTCTTACAAGCCATTTCACATAAGATGAGCAATTAAAGCACATTACAAAATTTTCCACATTTATAAAGACATTAGAAGAAAATAAAACCAAAGATTTTTATCCCACAAGAAAGCATGCTGCCTACCTACTCCCAGAAGAACAAACAAAAGTAACAAAAACAAAATCTTTCTTTGAAAAACAGAATCCAAAGATAGTTTAATTATGTAAACCTGTGAATAAACTGGGTACATCCCGAGAATGAATTAACATTTTGTGCTGAAACTATTCTAAAAAAGCAAAGGTCACAATTATGTCAACATCAGAACAGATACAGAGAAAACATATGACATATGTGATCTTGCCAATATTTACCGTCCATTTATGGTTTTAAAAGTTCAGAAAATTTTAATAAATAATTAGGTAAAATATTGAAAACCTTTCCCCTGGGATCATAAAAAAAATAAGAATATCTAATAGAACTGGTTCTATTCAGCATTTTACCTATGTCATTGCCAGGACAACAAAGAACAAAAAATGTACAAAGTTAGGAAAGAACAAAATCCACTTTTATTCAGATAGAACTATTCTATTTCTGGTTACTAAAAAGTAATCTATAGGTAATTTTAGATTTTTAATTGAAATAAGCAAAATAACTAAATGATATACTGTTAAACCTAAACATCTGTGTGACAATAGTAATTCTTAACTGAATTTCATAATACATAGTACAAGAAATGGCAGAAAAGTTCAAGACAGGGTCTCATTTTAAAGGTTGCATCTACATATTTATCAGCTAAAATTCAAGTGCTGTTATAACCCTGATAATACTCATTTTTTCTGATATAGAGAGCCATGAATATATAATAAACCTTACAATACATTTAGTATTCAATTCTGGTGGAAAAATAAAAGTGTATTTACTATACCATTTTTACTTATGGATCCTAGCGTAATGATCTCACTGACAAATTAGATGCCAGCTATTTACACACATCTACCTATTCAGTGATAAGATTTTCTCCACAGAAATTAGTTTCATATTTTCTTTTCTTTCTTAGTTCTTTCTTTGAACATAACTTATCTGTTTTGTATTAACTTTAACTTGAAATTAGCAAAGATAAAATCTTTCTAAAACATCATATATGTCCTTCCTTGACTTTTTTACCAATTTGTTATGTGCTCAGTGTAAAATTTTAGAAATAACAATTTAATTGCAAATCCTTTCACAGAAGTTAACTGATCAACTGCAAGGTTTCCATACAAACCTATATGTATATATAAATACACGTACATAACAGTATTTTTAAACTTGTATAAATAAGTGAAATAAAGTATAATTCCCTTCGTACTTGTGAAATACTTGCTAAGGATAAGATTTAAAAACTACCTCATTAGGCAGGAAAATTATGTAATATACATTATATTAACAGAGGACAAGTTATTTAAAAATTGCTTGCTTTGCCTTTTTGTACTCATTCTTTTAGGCACATGCTTAATAAGGTTGGTCAGATATAACAAAAGAAAGACAATTACTGTATAAAAGGGCAGAAACATTTAAAACTTTTTTTTTCCTTTTTGGTTTTTTGGAGACCAGGTCTTCCTATGTAGATCAGATTGGCCTTGAAATCCTTACGTAGCCCAGTTTGGCCCCAAACTTGCAGTGATCCTCCTGCCTCAGCACCTTGAGTGCTGTGACTGCAGTCATACATCACCACATCTGGCTACATTCCAAATTTCACTAAAAGAGTATCATATTAAGGCAGTTTAAGCACATGTCTGTAAATTCAGACCTCAGGATGCTAAGACAAAAGAATTGCAAATCTGAGACCAGCCTAATCAACTTGGTGATTTAGTAAGACTCTGGGACTAGAATATAGCTCATTGTAAAGCCTCTAGTTTCAATTCTTAATACTGCAAGAAAACCCAAAAAAGAATTTAAACATCTAGGAGCATTTCATTCTCCTTCCTTAATAATCTATTAATAAAAAATAGGCATGTTGCTATTTATTTTTCACTCAATATTTAGAATATTTAATATACTAATCCTGTGCTCATTTTTATATGTACCTGTGGTGATAACCAAAATGATAATATATTAAAATTAAATATATCTGCTTAAATGCTTACCTTCAATAATGCTTTAATATTTCCTTTTATGCTACTCATTATATATAAATAATTTCACTTGTAATTTTCTTCCAATAAATAATTATATTGTATATGATTTAAGTGTAGCATACATATTTTGCTATTGATGGTATTTCATTATTTTGTATCAAGCATTTTAATCTCTCTTAAACATTTTTCGAAAGAATTCATCATCTGCAGAAAATGAGCAATTGAGGCCAGGGATTTAGCTCAGCAGCATAGGCGCCTGCCTGGCAAGCATGAGGTCATGAGTTTGATCCCCAGTACCAAAAAAAAAAAAAAAGAAAGAAAGAAAGAAAGAAAAGGAAAAGAAAATCAGCAATTGCAACAACAAATCATTTTGATATTTGATGTATAAATGTGCTTTACTTTAATTTGCATATAATTTTTGTAGACATGTCTGTATGCTACTCAAATGTTAATAAGACAAAGACCCTTTCATTTTCTTATTGTTATATATTTCTTATTTTGCTTTGATTTTGCTCTTACGAATTTACCAAAAGGTAACTTATATTAATCTCAGGATATTTCAATAGATTTTGTATTAAAATATTTATACAAGTTTTTTTTCCTGAATTATGCATACCTTTTTTTGGTAGACTCCGTATATCAGGATTTACAAGGCAAGCTTACAGTGGCTGCCTGCAGAGTCAGGTGTGGAAGACTGCAGAAGGGTTGTCTGTACATCAGAAATCCAGTTGAAAGTTAAAGGCCTGGAGCTCACTTCAGAGTCTTGTAAGAGTCCATATAAGGAGGCCAAAGGATCTGAGACGGAAGGCTGAGGGATCCACACAGGAAGGCTGAAGAGTCTCCTGGAATCCAGAAGATAACATCCAACGTGAAGATTGAAGCTTCTCCAAAGAAACAGAAGCTAGCCTTTATTCTTCGTTTCCCTTTTATTGCATTCAGGTGACCAGCCTATGGGCTGATGCTGTTCATATGTGGGGGGTCTTCTGCCTTAGTTAATCCATTCAGCTACACCCAAAACTATGCTAATCCAATTAGTTGGGTGCTTCTTATTCAAGTTGCCACAATCAGTTAACTATCACAAGTTTTAAATGAAATTAATAATGGCACATGGTATTTATATGTAATACAAAGAATATCAGAAAACAAATGCATGCCAACTAAAAAGCTGCAATAAATAGATTTTATATATATATATATATATATATATATATATATATATATATATATAAAATATAAAAGTATGATGATTTAATGGATGGCTACTGTCCCACCAGAAAACACAGAGAACCATAGAAAATACACCCGTATTTTTGCAAAGTTAAGAGAAAAATATCAAGCCAGAACTCATCCAGCAAAACTGTCCTTTCAAAAGGACAGTGAAATAAGATACAGGCAGATAAATCTGAGACAATTTGTTGCTACTTAACCTGTAATATAAATAGTGCAAAAGGAAGTTCTTATTGAATGGAAATAACATCTGATACAAACTGGGAATTCCAGGGAAGAAGTAAAAAGACAGAAAAGAAAAATATTTGGAGAAATAGTAAAAGCCTGTTTTCTTTTCTTCAATAAAAGAAACAATATTTGAAACAAAAATGTAGGTAAAACTGTAAAAGAAAAAGGTGTGCAAAATTCATTAGAATATAAAGTTAAGATTCTTCCATTTAATGTGCCTTTACTTCTTTGCAAAAATTAAAAGACAAGTATAAATTTTAACTGAGAAATGTTTAATCAAGCACTTAAATATGACAAATATATGATAAAAAGTAAATAAAGGAAGGAGGAAATATCTACAACTGTATTGTTATAAAGTTGTACTTAGAAATAAACTAAGAAAAGTAAAGGACTCATACATCGGCTCTAGAGCAATGACTGAACGTAACACAAAGCGATGTAAAAAATACTTGGGTTAATATGGTTGCGTAACAAACTACCAAAAATTATTTCATCTATAAAACACCCAATTTCTTCTTGTTTGTTGTTCATTAAGCTATACCTCAACAATGTACCTGTGCCATATAATCCATACATGGCATTAAGCCATCAATGAAAAACATTTAACTACAGTACTTTAAATATGTAATGGCACTAAAGTTCCACTGCTTGGGTAGTGCATTTCTAAAATCATGCTTTACCTTATTAATACAAATATTAGATTAATTGGCTAAGGCTGGTCCGAGTGCAGTGGTGTTTACAACTAATTGATCACAACCAGTTACAGATTTATTTGTTCCTTCTCCACTCCCACTGCTTCACTTGACTAGCCTTAAAAAAAAAAAAAAAGACTAATTGGCTATAAGAGAAACAACTACAAACAAAAGCAAATTTCAAAAAATAATGTGTGGAACTGCCTGATTCTATTAAATGTTAAGCCAGATTTGTGTGTGTGTGTGTGTGTGATTGTGTGTGTGTGCGCGCCAGGAATCGAACTCATGACCTTGCTTTTGCCAAGCAGGCAATTATACCGCTGAGCTAAACTCCCAGCCAAGCCAGATATTTTTATCCACTGTTCTGAAAGATCTATGAAAGCTGAATGATATTTAACATACTGTTTGAAGGCACCACAGACCTAAGGAAGCATTCCTATGAAGAGGATAGATCTCAGGCAGAAAACTGGTTAAGACATAAATTTAGTATGCTTTTTCTCTCAAGTATATTACTAGCTTAAAGGAGTGAAGGAGAAAGCCAAGCTGGTAAGCAGAAAGCATAGCTGGCTTTTTGGAGATGGACAATGAGTATACAGAAAGGAAGAAGGGTGGTGGGAGTGGGAAAAGCATCAAAAATGGTACAGAATATATAATAAACATATTTACTTACTGCTCCTCCAAAACAAATGTAATTTTTATGTAATGAAAACATATACCAGTAAAAAAAAAAACAAAATAAATAAATAATAAAAAAGAGAAAGTTTCAATTGAAAAATTAAACAGTTGACCCATAATTCCAGCAGCCTCACCAGTGCAGCAATAGGGCTCAGGGCCCACACTTCACAGAGAATCCAGAAAAGTACCTAAAGTTTGACATGAAATCTCTAATGGGCCATGTCTTTAGTACTGGCGTGAAGTAGAAATGGGAAATTCTTCACAAACCATGATATCCAGTTTCAAAAGGACTGATGTGCTAAAATGAATACCTCTTGAAGCAAAAACAAACAAAAAAACACAAAAATCTCAAAGTGAACATAAAATCACTCAGACCACCAATCCTTCTTCAGCTGTTTCATACAGGAAATATATATATGTATGCATGTGTGTATGTGTATGTGTGTGTGTATATATATATATATATATATATATATATATATATATGTAGTAAGCTTCACGCTTGTGATCCATATTATGCATTTACTAAGGTATCCAGGTCAGAAATAGATAGGACCATGCAATTTAAAGTAACAATGACAATGAGATATGAATGCACATGATGAGACAGCTTCATTTAAAAAGACTAAGAATAACAAGGGCCAGCAAGGATGTAGAGTGCTCTAATTTATAATGCCAATATGATATAAAACACTACAACCACATTCCAAGACTGCTAAGTGTCCTCGAAAAAACTAAATATATATCTCTCATGTGATGTACTCAGTCCCTTCCTTGATGTTTTGAAAAATCACAATAAAACAAACAAAAAACTCAGAGTGTATATTTATACAAAGTCTCAAACAAGAATTTTCATAGCACATGAATGGTGTAGTAGCTTGGGCGGCTCAGGAAGGAGAAATAAAAAGAAAGGTAGTGATGGGAGTTGGACATTTACATTATTCTAATTATGGTGATAGTTTCATAAACACAGTATCTTAACCTATGTTATTTATTCCAGAGTTATATAGTTTACTAGAATTATACAATTACAAGTTCATGCAATTGTACCGATTCCTAAAAAATATATTTGATGTTACACTTCACAAAATTGGAAAATAAAGGCAGAAATATAAATAAAAATTTAAAAAATGATTAACTAAACTGAAGAAAACATAAAATGGTTTATAATGGTAAAGGGCTTTTGTTTTTTAAAAGTATACAAAGATTATACATTGGCAAGAGTGTTTAAAGAACAAGGACAACAGCACTGATACCAATACTGCCAATAACAACAGAAACACCGAGGGACTTATCCCATGGATTCCAGACACCCCCCCACACACACACACATAATAATCAACTTTCTCCCAGGAAATCTAAAGTAATACCAAATGATGAAATTATGGAAAATATAATAAATATAATTTAAACAGGTAACCAGGAAATCACAATAATTCTACGTTTTCTAGATAAAATATATGCATGTTGAGAATCTTCCTACAAATGACCTCTTTTTTGTCCTAATGCTTGAATTCCTGATCTACTCCAGGTAACTGAGAAATGTAGCTAGCTCCAAACTTGCACAATAATTCCATAGACACATAAGAGTCATAAAAAACTCAAAATGTTTTATGAGATGCCTATAATTTCAAACCAAACTTATATGGACAATATACATAATGAACTTCATTGTTATCTCATGTAAAAATAAGAGAAATTAAGAAAATTTTAAATGTTTACAAATAGAAAAAAGATAACTTCATCTCTAATACTGTATGGACACAGTATTTCATCCAAGAAAGAATTTCTGCTGTCTTATCATTTTTGTGTCAAGCCACTATAGTAAACAAATGAGTAAAATGGCATCACTATCACAATAAAGACAAATCACTTGACACAGTTTACTACTTATTTATGATTCTTTTTAAAACTCATGAGAACTGTAGCAAGTAGCATATTTACTGGGGACACACTGAAAACTTTCCCTTCCAAGATTAGAAAAAAGACTAAGAATGCCTGTCTACCACCAGATATATTCAATATGCTTTGGAGATCACAGTCAGGGCAATAAACCAAGAAAAAGAAACAGGGATAAGAATGAAAAGAAAGAAATTAAGCCACTTTTGTTCACAGACTGCATATCTATATGCAGTCTATACAAAAGCAGCTCCCACAAAATATATTACAATTGATAAGTGAATCTATCAAGATTTATAGATATCACCCAGTTAAACTAAACACATTTGTCTGACATAACAGTTCTTACTAAACTTTTTATGCAATTTCAAAAATTGGAACAAAAATCCTACAGAAATTGGTTATATATACCACGGCCTTTTCAGATAATCTTTGAGATAACTAAAACTTCATTTTTTCTGATATTAACAGATGTTCTAGAATATAAAATAAATGCAATAATAAAATAGCATTTTACTTAAGGAAAAATAAAAAGAAATTTTTGTGATAAGTTCACTTGCAGTTTCTACATTATTGATCTTATTTACTAACCAGAGACCTCCATCTTTAAGTAGATCACAATTACATTTTCTTTCCACAAAACTTGCTTACATTTTTCTGATTGTATCTTTCCTGTTTCATTTCTAGTTGTTTTCTAGCACTATACATCCTCTGTTCTGCACTTAAAAAGGGAAAGGTTTCAAACTATTATTAGTGATAACCCTTCACGTGACTGATTTTCTTTCAATGATTTTTTTCTAATTTTGGCATGAATGCAATGCAAAATTTTCAAAATTATATCATTTCACAGAGGTAAACATGATTCTCAATGAAATTTTTATATGAATAAACATACACATATTCAGTGATATCTATGATGTATTGATATACATATATATGCACATGAAATAAAATTTTTTCTTCACAAGTAATATGAATTGAACAGATGCTTTGCAAGTATGTAAGAACTAGTTTCACTGTATGAACGTTATAAAATTTATTTAACAGAACTTTTATCATTTATTAGCCAAACTTTTATAAATATTTATAAATAGCTTTGTCGATTGACTATATTCCCCGAG